ACTTGAGTCCGTTAAAGAAACTTATTTGGGGGTAAATTCATTTTTAATAAGTCCATTTTTTTTAATCTCAAAAATACTCTTAACAGTGTTAGTTTGATTATTTATGAAAAGTTTAAAACATTATTTACAATGAGCTATATATGGAGACTAATGATTAAATATATGAATGCTTGATTTACGATGTTAATTATCGATTATAAATTTTTCATAATACTTCAAATTCAAATTCTTAGTCATTATTTTGTCTAATATACATTTAAATAATAGACTTTCGGGATGTGACGCTAATTTGAAAGGGATGAAGGTTGAAGCTGAAATACGAGCTCAAGATTTTTAAAACGTAACATGGATAGTACACACCAAGTCCTTGATGTTAGCATAGTAACATCAGTTCAGTAACATCAATTTCAAAACGTAATTTACTAACACATATCACTATCTTTTTTTATGTTGTTATTTTTTATTGAGCATTTTATTATTTTTTCAGTGTTATTTTTTTGGGTGCTGAAAAATTAGAGGTTTCATTCTCTGGTTATGCGTTTGAATGTTACTATTTTTATTTTTAATTTTGTTCAATGTTGCATATTATTATTTTTTTTGTTGAGTAAATTACTATTTTTGTTAAACATATTACTATTTTTGTTAAACAAGTTACTATTGTTGTTGAACATGTTACTATTGTTATTAAATATGTTACTATTATTATTTTTATAAAATATTAATATTAAATGTTACTATTAATTATATTTAAATATTACTATTTTTTTGTGTTTAAATGATACTTTTTTTTTTGTATTGAATGTTACTATTTTTATTTTTAATGTTACTCTCTATCTCTCTCTCTATATGTATATATATTTTTCTAACTTATATATGAATATAAATAGATAATAGAGAGAAAAATTTTTAATGTTAATCAAACTCTTAAAATTTAAGAGTTTTTAATTTTTAATTTTATTTCATTTCGAAAGGAAGGATATTTTGGTTAAATTGACAAAAAATAAATTTTATAACAAATAAATTTCTTTAATAGACTTAAATCCAAATAAGTGGATACCGGCCTCCAAATTTTCTTTTAAAAAAATCAATGTCAGGACTTATTAAAAAACAAAATCTCAAATTTGACTTTTTAACAATTGCTATGATTAAATAAATAAGTTGAGGATTCTCGATCCAAATTGACACAACTAGACCCAATTAATTTCTGTTTCGCGAGAGCGGGATCAAAACCAGACAAGAAAAATTCGTGCTCACCACTCTGCTCTGCTCTGCTCAATTCCATGGTGATTATGGAGTGGAGCTCAAGAAACGCGTTCTGACCTCAGCTTTATTCGCTGTCTACCCACAGGTCCTTTACATTTACACACCCATATATATTTCACTGCTATTTAAATCCCATCTACAGCATCTTTTTGTAGACTGCTTCAGAGTCATATTAAAATCTTTTGTACCTGTAGCAGGTGCTGTATGTTAATCCTAATGTGTGTTTTACACGTGTTTCGATTGTTCAATTTGGGTTTGGTTTCTGTAGGTTTTAACTTAGTTTTCTGCTTTGGAGTTGCAAGAATAGATGTGATTTATATGATTTTCTTTTAGTTTTTTAGCCTTATATGATAGTGATTAATTGGATTAACAACTTGCTCAAAGATACTTACTTTGATTGCCCAACACTATGTAAAGCTACATTGAAGAAAGTTTCTGTTAACTGCTATTTAGACATAAATCGAAAGCTGAAGGCAAGGGTCAGGCCTTTTGTTATATAATGAGGCAGGTATGAGCCCTCCTGGGCCGCTTGAGGGGTAAAGTATCTGAGCCTTCCAGCACCTGATGCCTTAAACTCGAAACAAGAGTCTTTTTGAGCATTTCTATCTGCTTGTCTTGTCAATGAAGGTAAGCATCTTCCATATTGGCTGTGCTGAGGTACATTGATTCAATGATGGTTTATGCCTCAGCTGGCAAAAAGAATGCTTTACAATCAAAAGAAATTGTTTTTAGCCCAATTAATTATTTTATTAACTAGGATAGTACCAAAAAGAATACTGCAATAATTTTGTTTTCCACCTCCCAGGAACTTGGTTACTAAGTGCTGGATTTTGTAGGTATTTTCTTGAGCAACATACCTTTCTGTAAAATGCTCTCCCATGGAATAATATCAAATTTATGCATGCTATTTTTTTTTTTGACTTGACGCAATCAATTGAGAGCCAACAATAGAGAAAGCAATACATAATGACAGCATAGTTAGTTGAAGGCACATAAGGGGTGAAGATGTTCATGGTGAGGGCAGTAGAAGTCTTATGGACCTATTGAACATGCTACACAGGATGCGTGTTGATTGTGTAGTTAGTGGCAAAAATCCACAGTAGAGGTGGAGGTGGTCATGGCAACTTGGTGGCTAGTGGCAATGGTGTGGTTTCTTCTCCCGTCTCCCCTTTAGTTTTTGTAGAAGTGGTAGGCAGATTTTGGTATCACTAGTTGATCATTGCTAATGAAACATTCTTGTCATAGAAAAAGAAATTCTCTAAAGAGATTAATAACAGGTTGTCGTAGAATGATTTAATGAAAATGGCTATGCCCGCAATCATTGAATAAAAAAGAAATCCAGGTTGAAGATTTGCTTTGGGCTATGGCCATATCATTTATGTGCACTGTGCATGGTGTGGTGATCTTGGCTGATGGGTGTGGTGATGGTAATATCAGTGGCTGCAATGGTGAGGTCAGTGGTAGTCATAGTTGGTTAGGAATAGTGAGAGTGTGACAGATGGTAGTGATGTGGAAGCTGTTGGAATTTCATAAAAATTGTGAATGCAAAGCTATGCGAGATTTGAATGTCACTAATAAGGATGTGAAGTCTCCATCAATCATGTCTAGAGGTGACCCTGATGTTTGTGATGTTGAGTGGCTAACTTGCTATTTTCATACTAGTTGGTGGTCATTTTAGCATTGGGGAGTCCAGCATAGTCATAGAGCTGCATTAGTGATAATTTGATGATGGTCAGATGGGTTAAAGACATTTTGTCCATGATTGAAGCTTAACCTCAGCTGTTTTGTCTACACTGCTGTTGAACCAGTCTCTATTTCTTTGTTATCCAATACACCCTGCACTTCCCAGATGAGGCATAATTATTTTTAAAACATTGTTAGGTAATTAATTTGGCCTTCTACCATAGTTAATGGTTGCATACTTATTAGGAAAATATTTCTTACATTTGAGCATGAGTATATGATCTTTTCGGCTCAGCATACCAGGCCATAGGAATTTCTGACATCTCTCTCACGGCGATAACATCATTCATGTCTTCACCTAGGAAGCATGAATAGTGCCATGGCAATGTCAAACATGTGTCTGACACGGACACGGACACAGTCAAGACACAGCCCGAACACGTGTCCGACACAGTTAGAAGCGTTCTGAATAGTGAACTCAATTGGTCATGCCTGAGACACGACCAGGAAATGATTAATAATTTTTTTTATTAAAAAAATAAACATTAACTATTAAAATGGGTATGATTTCTATTTTTTGTAATATATTTTTTTTTATGTAACTTGTATATTATGCATGTTAATGGATGTAATGATGTTTGATATTGTTATAATATATGTTTTATTTTTAATATATTAAAACTCTATTATTATTTAAAAAATATATTATATTATTTTAATAGCCATACCGGTGTCTGATATTTTTGAATTTTGTTGTATCCTCATGTTTGTATTGTGAACAGTGCCATTCAACAGTAAAACTGTGTTTTTAGGGTTGAAAAGTATTGAACTTCAAGTTCTGCGGAAAGACTAGGTTGGACTTACGGATTAGAGTTGCAAATGAGTTGGTTTGAAAGTGTTTATATGTAGAAAATTTAAGAAAGAATTAAAAAAAAAAAACTAGGAATCAGTCTTAGGGTTTTTTAGGCGTCACACCTAGGATTTTGAATTGCACCACAATCCTCAAAGCATATAATTGCTGAAAACTTATGGAAAATATTTTTTCCCTTTATTGAAGACACTACATACCAACGGGCCTTTAGTGCAATAGTACTTCTTACCTTGTGAAAGTTTTATCTTCTTAAGGTCAAGAGTTCAAACCCCCTTCCCCCCTCTCCATCCCCCTCCCCTTCCCCTTCCCCTTCCCCCCCCCCCTCCCTCCACCCAAAAAAAAATTGAAGACACCACATAACTATGCATAGACCTCCAAGTATTTTTTAATCCTAAAAAGATTAGTACTCTAAAGACTTAAAATTAAATATGGACTAGGAAATTAATGTAGACTAGAACTTGGACTAAACTCTAGAACCTTAAGACAAAACACATTTTTTGACCCAAAAGATGACCTATGGGTCATACTATGACATGTTCCAATAAATTTTGAAATTACGAAAATATTCCTAACTTTAAAAAATATCATAATGACTCATAAAATAAAAATACCAAGGTTCTAAATAGACTCAAGAATAAAATACAACTAGACTAAAAAAATATTGTGCAAGGTTCCATATATGTCTCTATCTTGATAGCATGTCAAATCCCATAATTTGTCAAGTTTTTGAATTCATATTCCCTTGAACATCTTATGGATTACATATTCGCATCATTCTCCCTAGTTGGAGAAAATTCAATCTTGAGTTTTGAAGTGTTGAACTATGAAACCCCACAAGCTTTGAATTTGCATATGTTGCTTTCTTTGAGAAGCCTTAAGATGTTGCCTCCATTTCGTTTAGAATTGAGGAAATAAATAGATTTGCAGATTGAGTTTCTTGGTTGTGTTATCGAACTTATTTGGAATGGCAAAATCAGTTGCTGAAGTAAAGCAAAAGGAAATAACATCCTTGTTTGAATTGACATTTTAGTAGTGTGCCGTTGAATTGTAACATTCCCCAACATTTTAATATGTGTTGCTAGTCCCTCTTGCTCAATCAAACCCGTAATAATAGTTTTTGATTCCATCCCCTTGTTCATGGTGATATCTTCATACGTTGTAAACTTAATCTTCTCTTGAGCAGAACATTGGGCCTAAAGTTTTTGACCTTTGAAGGTCTGAGAACCGGGAGGAGCTATTGTCAATAACTGCCAACATGATGGAGAAAAATATGCATGAGGGGAAGGAAGCATCTTCTTCATATGTATCTTGGTCGCCTGAAGTTCAGAATGATTGGATCAAAGCTCAAGATTCGTTGAAGAGAAAACTAATCACAGAAGATGATTTCAAATGGAAACTACCCACAACCCAACAAGCACTTGGCGGAAAAGAAGATGCAGAAGAGAGTAGTGGAGTATTGAAGTATGTGGGTGGGGTTGACTTGAGCTTCTCAAAAGACGACCCATCCATTGCATGTGGCATACTTGTTGTTTTGGACCTCCAAACTTTGAGAGTTGTCTATGAAGATTTCTCCATTGTCAGGCTCAATATCCCATATGTCCCTGGTTTCCTTGCATTTAGAGAGGCTCCAGTTCTTTTAGAGCTTTTGCAGAAAATGAAGAAAAATATTCATCCTTACTACCCCCAGTTGTTAATGGTTGATGGCAATGGATTACTTCATCCTCGAGGAATTGGATTGGCCTGTCATCTTGGTGTTCAAGTGAATATTCCCACTATTGGGGTAGGAAAGAATTTGCATCACGTGGATGGTCTTACCCAATCTAGGGTAAGAAAGCTCTTTGAAGCCAAAGGGAACTTAATGAAAGATATGATCACTCTAATCGGGGAGTCTGGACGAACCTTGGGAGCAGCGATGCGATCAACTCAGAGCTCATTCAAGCCTATATTTATTTCAGTTGGTCATCGTATATCTCTTGCTACAGCCATCAAAATTATGGAAATAAGTTGCAAATATCGGGTTCCAGAGCCCATCCGACAGGCTGATATAAGATCAAGGGACTACCTTCGAAAGCATCAAATAGTATGAACTGTACCTACCTGGGCTGGGCAAGAACAAAAAGAGGTCATCGTCCAGGAGCTAGTCAAGGCTGGAATGGGATAGCAAGCCCTTTCTTCCCTAGTCAATGCCATTAGAACAAGGAAAGATGAGCCATGTCCTTTTGTAGTGGATAAAAAGAGATACTACTAGAAGAGGATGAAGGTAAATGTTCCTGAATATAAACCTTAGTTTTTGTTAATATTAAGCCTACTTTCCTATGAAGCATGGATACTTCGTCAGAAACAATACTCTTTGGATACCTATCCGATAATTAATAAAATATGTGGATATTTCACAAATACTTTTAAACATGGAGCAAGATGTACAATTTTTAATGTTAATTTATACCCTCTCTTTTCGAGTTTCCATACAATACAAAACATCAACAAAATTCTATCTGATTTTGAAGACACCAAGTGTTTTTTAAGTATTATCTACTATTACATGTCAAAAGAGTATTAACAAATGAGTTAGTTACACTATAATCTTAAAACTTAATACTTGTAAACAAACCAACTAGTTAAATCTGATTCTGATTCCTTTAATTGGTCACACTCATTTTATAGATATATCATAATGAGATGATATTACATCTTTTTCAAGGTAAAAATTCATTATTTTGTTTACTACTTTTAAAGAATTATTGAAAATTATAATTTTTAAGTCATTAAATAATAATAAAACATAAAATATATTTTATTATAGACGTATCCTCGGCGTACCCGCATCTTATTATTTTAAGTTTTGTTATATCGTCGTACCCGTATCGTACCAGTATCATGGATCTGTATCCGTGCTTCTTAAGTACTTTTCTTTGTTACAAAAGAAATATGTTTATGATAAGAACAATGTGTTAGTTTGGCTTGCATGTTTAATGTTCAAATTTGTTCCTATTTGTATTTGACTGATATGTTTATAATCCAACAGTAAAAAACCAAAAAAATAAAAGAAAACTTTTCTTGAGCATTGTTAGAATATGGTAGTACTGGTGGATCTTTATGCTCATGTAGGTTCTTGGAGCATGCAAACATATGAAGCCCTTGAGACAGTGATGCTGCTCATTGAAGGTCATCAATGGAAGAAAATTCGTTAGTCAACTCTTTTGGCACTAGAGCACTCTGGTAGTAACTTAGTCATGTCTAAAGGCATGTTTGATTCATGGCTAGTTGCTGTTTTTTATTCTTAGGCTCTACAATAAATATAGAGGGAGAGCTTAGAGAAGATGGTAGCAGCAGAATACTAGAACTAGACATGACGGTTGAAGTGTAATAATGTTTGATGTGCTACAAGAAGATATAGAACCAGCATTTTAAAGCATAGAATGGCAGTAGTCAAAGATGTGTTTACTACATGAACATACCCGAAAAATCCATGGATAAGCGGCTTCACAAGAAAAGCCACAATTAAGTGATAATGTTTGAACTGAGTGTTTGGTATCTCGAGATGTGGTAGATGAGTGATATCAGAGGAAAAGGATGTGTCCACACTGCTAGTACTTTTGACTACTTGCTGTTAAATGTAGTGCCTAGGATATCTATGTTTCTGTCAAGTTTTCAAGGGCCACATTCTTCTGATGGCTTGTTCTTTCTGTAGCTTGAGATTTGGTGTTTTAAGAACCTCTGATAGCTGCCATGGAGAATTTCATTTGTTTATGATAGGATTGGACTGAAGCTTCTAATATTAAGAATTTCGGAGTGACTGGAATAAGTTCAACTTGCCGAGTTTTTGTTTGCTTCTTGAAAATATATAAGTTGGTCAAGGATCAACCCTTCTATCCTTATTCAAGCCATGCTCTTCTTTTTGAACAAAAAATCCAACTGTTTCTGTCCCTTTCTTCTACCCTCAGGTAACGAGCCATTAAGTTGTACCTTATTGAGTGAGCTTCCTTGATTCATTGTATCAAAACTTGTAAAAGTCTTTTTCGGTTTAATCTTGCACCTCTTACCATATTTTCATAAAAATGAAAAATAAAGGAAAACATGTTGCTATGCCAAGGCCAATATGAAAATTTGACATTATGTCAATTATTGCCTTCGAGAACATTAAAAAAAAAATGCGAATGGTGTGATTGTGTAGAATTTGCTTCATACATTTCCACAAGGCATTAATTGGGGACTAGATGAATACTTTAACGGTTATACATCTACATTCTTTGATAAATATGCACACTACGTAGACCAAGCAATGCTGGCCAGACTAGGGTAGGAGGAGACAGTATAGAGCATCTATTGTTTGAATATTAGGGAATGTAGTTGAACTAAATTAATTCGATTTGAATTATGTTATAGAATCTAATCTTACAATATTAGCTAGTATTGACCCAGTACTATGTCAAATAATTCCACATTATGGTACAAACCAATTGTGATCAATGGTACAAATTTGTTTAATTTAGTGCAATTCCTAGGGGTTTTTGTTGATTACAAAAATCAAGGCCCTCAAATCCAGAGAACATTGATGATGCACAAAAGTGAGTTTATGTAAAATCAATGAAGGATGAAGTAAAGAGGGCTCGACACAAGCAAACACAGAATTTAGGTGGTTCGATCTGTGTGACCTATTCCACTTGGAATGGCTATGGTGGTTGAAGGTTCTTATTACTCAAGTGATGTAGTTTGTTGAGATGTATGTCATGACCCCCATACATAGATGGACTTACAATTTATTACGGAGTACAGTCTTTATGGCTCCTCAGAGCGGGCTTTGGAGGAGGCACTATCACAGGGAGCCTCAATTAAAGGCGTCACCTTTTGTGACGGTGTACTATTGGCGTAATGGACAAGGTGGTTGAGGCTTGTGATGCATATCTTGATTCCCTTCTTAAGATGGCAATCTCACGTGCATCACTAGTAGACTGAATTTTCTAAGATGATGGGCTTGGTTTGGGCTGAGTTGAACCTGTGATCTGGATCTTGTTTGTATTTCTATACTAAGCCTCTAAACTGAGTTTAATATGTAATTCTGAACTGGGCCTAGTGTGGACCGGCACGTCAAACATCACTGATCACTGTCAAGAAAAGGAATACAAGCACTAACATCCCATTTAAAGCCACAGAGGAAATGACTATCTCATTAATGTAAGATCTTCTCTCACACCGTGATAGTTTAGAGGGGTTTGTAGAATTGGAGTTTTGGAAGAATTCATTGACCAAGAAATAGAATGTAATAGGCTCTGTAGAGGTGAAGTTGTTGAGATTTGTTTTAACCAACAAGTTTATGTGAACTCATTGAGAGGTCTGTCTTATGATCCACAAATATTCATATTAGTTAGCCAAATTTATGAGAAATGGGAAGAGTCCTTTTCATGTACTATCAGAATATACTTCATAGTACTCTTAGACCTTTGTTATATTTTAATAAAATTAGGGTAGCTTTGTTTATCTTGATTGAATAAAAGAGGATGAGACTATTCTTTGGGTTTTCCTTCTTGTGTTCTGTTACTAATATATACACCTCGGAATGCACCTTTCTTATAGAGAGAAATGTGTTTTCACATCTTCTTAACCCAAATTGGCTGGCAGAGGAAATTTTCTTTTTTTTTTAGGGTACTCTCAGGATCAAATTCAGTGGAGGCGATTTGTTCCTAACAATTCAAGTCGAATACAGAGAAAAAAAAATAATATTTAAGAAAGCTAAATTTGATTAAAGTAATACACTATTCAAGTCTATCTGGTTCATTTTTGAGATAATTAAATCAATTTTTTCAGGAAAATAATGAGAATCACATAGGCTCCAACATGAATGTAAGGGAAACCCTCGAAAAACTAGAAAGCCAAATTGAAAGATGGTTAACAGATAGTGTTAATACTCTGTTTAGGCATAACTTATCCTTCTGGGTCATAAGCTGGGTATTTGGTCGATCGCCTCACTGCATTTCCATAGAATGGATTTGAAGATAGATATGGTGAAGATCTGTTTAGTGGCCTTTTTTACCCAGCATCATAAGTTGGTAGATAAGAGAGGTCCCTAGAAGGAGATCTTTCACCAGAACTCCTGGAGGGTGCTTCAAAAACAGTAGCTGCACTTGGATAGAGAGAATTCGACCTGCCCCAGCATCCCCTACAATCAAGCTTGCCTCAACCAGAGGGATTTATTGTTCAAGGTAAAGAAGATCATGTTTGCTTGCTGAAAAAATCATTATATGGTTTGAAACAGTCTTCAAAGCAATGGTACAAACGTTTTGACACCTTTATGGTAGATCATGGTTACTCTAGAAGTAATTATGATAATTGTGTGTATCACAGATAGTTGTCAGATGGTTCTTTGATATATTTATTGCTTTATGTGGATGACATGTTTATTTCTGCTAAGAGCATGTTAGAGATTAACAAGTTGAAGAAAGAGTTGAGTTCAGAATTTGAGATGAAAGATTTGGGTGCTACAAAGAAAATTTTGGGTATGGAGATTCACAAGGATAGAAGAACAGGTATCTTATATTTATCTCAAAAGAAATATATTGAGAAAGTTATTGAGCGGTTTGAGATGCAGAATTCGAAGCCCGTCAGTACTCCACTTGCTGCTCACTTTAGGCTTTCAATAACTTTATCACCACAGAGTGAGAATGATGAGCAATTTATGTCTCGTATTCCTTATTCTAGTGCAGTTGGAAGCATCATGTATGCTATGGTTTGTACTTGTCCAGATATTTCACAGGCAGTTAGTGTGGTTAGCCGTTACATGGCTAATCCTGGGAAGGTTCATTGGCAGGCTATGAAATGGATATTTCGTTATTTGAGAGGCACTACAGATGTTGGCTTAGAATTTGGTAGAAGAGATAACATCGATTCTACAGTTGTTGGTTTTGTTGATTCAGATTATGCGGGTGATCTAGATAAAATGAGATCTCTGACAGGTTATATTTTTACTTTATTTGGATGCACTATAAGTTGGAGGGCGCTCCCACAGTCTACAGTTGCTTTGTCTACCACAAAGGCAGAATACATGACCGTATCAGAGACAGTTAAAGAAGCAATTTGGTTAAGAGGTTTGGTCTGTGATTTGGGCTCAAAAAAAGAGGTAACTACTGTGTTTTGTGATAATCAAAGTGCAATACATTTGACCAAAAATCAGATGTATCATGAAAGGACCAAGGACATTAATGTTAGGTATCACTTTTTTTGTGAAGTTATGGCTCAAGGTATTGTCACAGTGAAAAAGGTTGCTACAACGGAGAACCCAACAGATATGTTTACTAAGTTGGTACCAGTGTTTAAGTTCAAGCATTGCTTGGACTTGATTGGTGTCTGCACTATTTGAGTGTACCCTTCGGGGTATTTGACGAAAGCACCGATCAAGTTCACATTGGTTGGATGGATAGATGGAATACAAGTCAAGGTGGAGATTTTTTGTGATGACTTGTATTCAAGTCAATTGTTTTTATATGGACTCTAATTGAAGACATGAGTTTTCATTAGAGTCCTTAATAGACAAGTTTGACCTTAATTAGAATTATCTTGGTTTTATTATTTTAGTGGAGTTTAGTCCAACATGGACTTTTGTTGTTTAAACTCAAAACCTTCAAAGAGTCTTTAGTTTTTTGTCCTATACGTGAGACCTCTTCAGCATAAAGACTTTATGAAGGAATCAAATTCCTTAGTCCAGAAGTTAGATAAAAAAGACGTCTTCTCTAGTGAGTTAGTAGTTGACCATTGATGACGGTACAAGAGTTTTCTTTGTGTGTGATAAATTGATATTGCTCTATTTTGTTAAATCCAATAAATATTTTATTATTAGAATAGAGCAGATATCTAGTTTTTTTTTGATTTGTTCTAAGAACGTTGTAATCTCCAACCTTTTAATAGTGAAATTTTGACGTTGTGTTTCATTCGTGGATGTAGGCTTGCTTGTTTAGCCGAACCACGTAAATCTTTGTGTTATATTTTTTTATTTCGTTGTATTATTATTTTGTTTGTGGTTTTGTTTATAACAGATAGGTACAATCAATGATAGGAGTGATGTTCGAGCAAATCAATTTCGATGATTGCTTTCCATGTGTGGTGATCTTCCTGGGTCTCTTGAACTTTGGACTGGGCTGAGACTACGAACTAAGCTTGACTTGTCTTTTGATGATTTGGACTCAGCTCATGAACTGGGCACAAGCCTGATCTAAATATTGGCTCGTCACTTACAACAAATATCACTAGATCAAAGAGATCTTAAAAAAAAAAATTACGCCAATACAAGAAAGTCTCGTTAATCCGCATGGATTGAACTCGCTGATCAAACAAAGGGCGATCTATGAATCCATATTCCTAGAGTAGAATTTTCCTAACGTTAGGATGTCCATATCATTTAAATTCACTAGTTGAACAGGATGGGCAATGACCTTTATTTCAATTACATTTCATCTTTGATGTGTAAGTTTTAAATCACCACTTTCTGTGTGTCGTGGTTCC